ATAAGAAAAAACATTTATATATTTTTGGAACGAAGCCTATTTCGACTAATGGTAATTTTTTCTACAGTTGGCCGTTTCGCAAGAGGTAAAATATACGATAAACTACGTCGTGAACACTTCGAATTGGTGTTAGGGATGCAATATTTCGACTTCATTTAACATTTCCATAATAATTACGAAATTTGAGACATACATAAGGAAAAAAGGGCAAGGGGTGGTTGTGTGGGTGGCTAAAAGGGGTGTGGTTGGTGGCTGTCAGGAAACAATCAATGCATCAGTGCCACGTCATTTTTTTTGAATTTTTGTATGACTTCTGTGATGAAACTTCTGTATGCGTAGCATTATTGGTTTAAAAATTGTGTCCAATGATTTAAATTTTGGTTTGAATCATGTTCAGACAAGTCCTAAATGTGAGTATTTCATAACGAAATTACATTTGCAAAACACAACACTAATGTACGTGTTATAATAAAAAAGAGGCAGAGTTGTTGCCTTGTTGGCGGAGGCATACATTTCTTCATCAGCCGTAATCATTCAAGTTCTTTCACATTGCTAATTTTTTTGTTGGGAACTCAAAACATCAAAATATGTTTTGGAGTTTTGGGAAATTTACTAGAGTAATACTATTCATCCTCATTGAGGATGAAAATACAGTCTACGTGGCGTTAATGTGGTATTAAATGATAGGTGAAATTAAATAAATTTCACATTTAATTTCACATTTAATTTAACCTATCATTTAACGCCATATAGACTGTGTTTTCATCCCCACTGGGAATGAATAACATTACTCAATTTACTAATGTTCTTTCACCTTCTTGAGGGTTTTTGGTGTGGAACTCAAAAATTCAAAAGGGCTTTTGTGCTTCTAGGAGAGAGAACTTTACAATTTATCCAATTACAATTTTAAGTATATATTTAATGAGATTTATAATTTTTATCAACTTTGAACTACACATTTCATCAACTTACTATTTGATAAAAAAATTTATCAAAAGTTTTGTCAAACAATCTGTTAAAAAAGAAATTTAGATTTATTTTTAGGGACATTTTTTAGCCTAATTTTGGTGAAAATGGCCATCTGCACAACCCTTTAAAAGTTGTCATATTTCAAAATGGGTTTTTAAAAATGGCTATTTTCTCCAATTTCCTCTAAATTAAGTCAACAATTACAGATAATTTGGGAGGAGAAGCTTTTAATTCTATTCAACTCCCTATTTTAAAATTAATTAAGTACAAGAATATATTTTATTTTTTGTAGTAGGGAACTGAAGTTCAATTCCAAGAGGTTAACTTATCAGATGGGTAGTCGAATTTCTTACAAGTTCAACATATACGCCATGTTTAACCGTTATGAAAGTTCTTTACTAGGACTTACCCAACAACTGTACAGAAATACAAAATCTTCCTAACTCGATTGTATCAAACAACTCATAATTATACCTATAATATTACCAAGGCAACCATATAGAATCCGACCAGACAAAGACAAATTATAGAATAAAGCTATTAATTATCTAGTATCTACGGTGTTTAACACTGGTTTATGTAGCTATAAACATGTTTTACTAAAAGATAAATTCAATTAAATGTAACCGATACAGAGTTACTTAATTGAACCTAGTATGTATTGCCACCTAGAAGAATTATGTTAAACATTTGTTCTGAGTAATAAACATTCCTCTAGGTGACCCCTCTATCTTCAATTAATGGGGATTATGGCTCATTAATTAATATGAACTATATATGGCGACACTTGCATTGGTTTTCAACACCACTGATGCCAGATAATACTATTCGGATCTAAAACATAAAATCCACAATTCTATATAAATGATCGAGTTTTCTGTATTATGTGCAATTGTGCATATTCATTACTATTTTGGGTTAATTCTTTAAATGGTCACTGAACTTTGTCAAAGATTTCTACGGGGTCACTGAATATCTAAACTTTCCTAGATAGTCACTGAACTTTGCAAATCGGGACCCATCCATCACTGACCTAACGCCGGTTGCAAAATTAAACGATTTTGATGACGTGTCGAACAGAGCAAATGACATGGCACATTTGTGTTCAAATGGACTCAAGGAGCACAAACATTAGGACACGAATTATAAAAATTTATGAAAAGAACCCTTAGACAATAATTCAACACACACATAAGGTACAAAAGATTA